CTGGTGGTCGTTGTCCTGTAAGGCGTGGGTCAGGGCCCTTACCCGCCCCTCCGGGCTTGCTCCCTGTGGGCAGGTGTGGTGCGGGAACAAGTTAGTGTGGGGTGGGGAGGAGGGAAGGAACTTTCTGGTGTCTCTGGGGTAATAAGCATACAATCATAGAATGGTTTAGGTTGGAAGGGACCTTAAAGATCATCTAGTTCCAACCCCCCTGCCATGGGCAGGGACACCTCCCACTAGACCAGCTTGCTCGAAGCCCCATCCAGCCTGGCCTTGAATACTTCCAGGGATGGGGCATCCACAACTTCTCTGGGCAGCCTGTTCCAGTGCCTCACCACCCTCAGAGTGAAAAATTTCTTACTAATATCTCATCTAAGTTTACCTTCTTCCAGTTTGAAGCCATTCCCCCTCATCCTGTTACTAACCCGTGTAAAAAGTCTGTCTCCAGCTTTCTTGTCATCCCCCTTCAGATACTGGAAGGCCACTATAAGGTCTCCCTGGAGCCTTCTCTTCTCCAGGCTGAACAACCCCAACTCTCTCAGCCTGTCCTTATAGGAGAGGTGCTCCAGACATACTGATTATTGTTCTTAGGAGGACCTTCGTGTAGATGGTCGTGGCTGTGAAGACTACCGATGTGCAGAAGTAGAAACAGGTGTTGTATCAAACACAAGTGGATCTGCAAGAGTAAAGCTGGTAGGTAAATTTTTTAGGGGTCGCGTACGTCGCTGATGAAACTTCTGGGTTAAGTGACTAGTTTTAAAATAAGCTAAGGCTATTTGTAGATGTGTTTGTGTGTGTGTAATAAAATGCGTATGCACAGGACTAACTGAAAGTATGGGCTAAGGAAAGAATCACAAGATATATAATTCATTCAGGCTGGCTTAACCTACTTGAGCTAGATTTACTGTGGAGTACCAGAAAAGTCTTCAATTTGAACTACTCTACCATTTCATCTTGAAAAAATTAAATTGCTGTTGTGCTTAATCACTGGAAAAAGCAATTCTCTTCCTTTAGAGTGAAGCAAGACTACTTCTGGCATGTGTTGACTGTGAGGAAGGTAAATATACTGTGCAATATTATGAAGGTTCTGCAGATGTAGCTGTTTCAAACAAGAAGGTTAGAAAAAGTCATTCATATGAAGAGTGTCTTTATAACTTAGAGAAAGCTAATATGTATGATAATTATTTGAAGAAACTTCTTATGCTTAACAAAGGAAAGGCTTCTAAAGCCTTTCCTTTTTTTAAGAAAAACTGATGTGATTTTAAGTTCACGGTGATAGAATAACGGGTGCAGATAACTGAAAGGTAGAAATGTCAGCTTACCATAGACATTTAAATTAAACAAGTAGTTTTGTGAATGTAATTCTATTTGTGTAATATGTTTTTGTTTTAACAGGGGCACACTGATATCTTGGTAGGTGTAAAAGCTGAGATGGGGACACCAAAACTGGAGAAACCAGATGAAGGTTACCTGGAATTCTTTGTTGACTGGTTAGTATACTAGAAGAGAAGGAAATAGATCGAATATTTGGAATAAATGACTAAAAAGATCCTACCATCCTTCTGAAGTTTATACCTTCATTCCACTCACCTCCCATAAGGGTCTGAGTAATAGAAACATGTTATTCTACTGTTTTAATGTTTGAATATTCAGAAACTTCCTGCTGGTTCTGCAGACCCAAAATAAACAAAACAATAGAAGTTAAAGAATGAAATCAGCTTTAAAAAAAATCCCAAATTGCATAATATCACTGCAGCTGGAAAAGAGTGATGATTCAATTGCACACGTGTTTAACATGACTGAATGACTACAATGTCAGTTGTCTTTCTTATGATGATAGAATAGGAAAAATGTCTTTCAAAAATGAAGTGTTCCAGAAGAAAAGAATTGATTGATACAGATTGTACTTTAACTGTACTTAAAGGATTTTGCTTACCTTGTCTTTGAAAGCAGTGAAAAAAGTTTGAAGTGTGTTTTGTACAAAACCATTTGTTTAAAAAAAATCCTCACTGTAAACTTCAGATGCAAAAGTTAATTAAAAAAATTAGTTATATTTATCAGTGAATCAGTATTTCATTAACTAAAATGGTATTTGTTTTTAATCATATTCCTGTCTTTGTGCTGCAGATGGACTATTGTTTATCCTTACAGTCTTTGTAGTGCTTGAGTTATGAAGGAAGCTAGCAGAAAACTGAGAGCTCTTGTTTTCAGGTTGCTGTGAGATAGTATAGGGAATCTCAGTGTTATTGCAGACTGTCTGCTGTCTGAAACTACAGTACCTCTATCTTGCAGACTTCCTAAAACTGTTCTTTATGAAATAATGTGCTTTGGGAACCGCTTATAAAAGCCTTGGCACTGTCGAGTTAGCTGTTTTGCCTGTGACCTTATTTTAATTTTTATTAAAAAAAAAAAAAAGTTGCTACTCTGACTTTAAACCAATATACTGTTAGTAAAGCTGAGGTATGAAAGCTACTAAGTGTATATCTGATAATCTTTCTGACCTAACTAGCTATATCTGCCTTAACATTTGTATCTCTCTCACATTATGCAGACTGCCTCTATACATCACAATGTACTAGTTAACGGTGGAAATGTACCGTTTGTAGAGTGAAAGAGTCACCTATGAATTAATGATTTGTCTAGGATTACTGTTCAAAAAATGTCAGACAAGAAGATGGTCTTCTCAAATGTGTTCCTTTTGTTAGAGGGTATCTGAGCTTGACTACTTTATAAAACTTGTGTATGAAATATCCTAAGTAGTACCCACCATGTTCTGGTGGTTTCTATATGAAGAATATCCAATGACAGCAGGGATGTCTCCTTATTACAAGAAGTGGTCTGTGGGGGTGTTGTAATTCTGTGACACTTCTTTCATATGTAAATAAATGTTAGAAAAACTTTAACTCATTAGATTAATGTTAGGTTGTATTTTCTAACTGTTAATCTCTGCTTCGTAAGATGATGGGAGGGAGATGTGCAGCAATATTGCGCAAAATTGATCTTGTCAGTTCTAGAAATAGGTAATCCTTACTTTCTGTGACAACAAACACCAAAACCCTAAATTTTAGAGAAGGGTAGTTGTTTCTCGCATGCATGTGCCACCGGGTGAAAGGTGACCTCTAACTTCCAGAAAGACCCAAAAGAGAAAATGTGAAGTGGAAGCAGCTCGTTCTCTGTAAAGGGAAATGAGATGCTGCCAGGACTCTTGACGCTTTTCCAGGCTGCCACTGGGTGGTAGTAACTGAGCATAGTTTGATACGCTGCATCTGGTGGTGAAGTTCCTGTTATGTTCTACCTGGCTTTTATATTGTTGAAGCTAATCATAAAAACTCAGACTGCAGTGTTTGCTATCTTAAAATGCTTATTTCCTGAAACTTTCATGGTTTCTTTCACTGCTGAAAATAATCAGTTCCTGGATTGTGTTTATAGTTTTCTGCCCCCAAATTCCATTTCATTCTGCTCTGAGTCCTTATCCTGAAATCTGAGAAGCACATTTAGTCTCATTTTGAGACCGATTTTAATGCTAGTCTCTGGAAGAGAGAATTTTGGGGGCACTGATTTGTGATACTAGAAATTAATTATCATGGAACAAGTACATGTCCTATGTGATGTCCTTACTGCCCATCAGCACTGGAGAAGACACTCATCCTGGTCATTGATGTTGAAAGACTGCCGTGTCTGCTCTTCTCATGTTTGAGTTTTGGGATTGTTCTGGTACTGACTTGTTAGGGTTTTGGTTTTTTGGTTTGGGTTTTTGTCTTTTGACTGAAGCAAAGATTTATAATTTTCAAAGTGTAAGAAATAAAAAAAAATAACTAAAAAAGCAGACAAATCTGAATTCATTGAATGAATTAGCTTTTATTTGTGGAATTAGGGAAGGAAGGAATGTTTTTCTCCAAGTCTGGTCATCTGTTCCTCCACTTTGACGTCCAGACATGCTTTTGTTCCAGCTGGAAGAGTGGGCCTGTTTCATTGGTGCCCACATGGAAGGCTGGATCAGATATGATCTTAAATATTATAGATGGAAAGCAGGTCTCCAAATCATAAGAGATGATAGTGTTGCAGAACAGCCATCTCAGCATGCTCTTACATGATCCTCGAATACTGTTCTGTTGGGTTTTGTGGGGAAAATGTTAACTTAAAACAAATTTCAGTGCAGTCATTAAAGATACTGCTTGAATGGTGGCTGCAGAAAAAGAACCTTTCCCCCCCCTCTTCCCTACCATAAACCTGTTATCATGGCAACTACTCTTTTCAGAGACAAGAGGCAAACTAATGAGTTTTGAAAGAATGAAATGTTTTTACAATTTATTTTGTTTACGGTACTTCCTCCATTAAAGATGATCTGTAGTGGATTTAGCTTGGTTTTCAGAGAGAAACACCATCTGGTTCTTGAGTAAAAACTGCTTCAAACTCTATTAGCAGATGTTCCTTTCAGATGTGAAGTGCAGTGACAGCGCCTGACCGGACAAAGACCTGAATCAGTAAATACGTATTGGTAGAGTTACCAGTTTGACTAGACTAAATCCAAACCCTTGTTAGCCCAATTCTTTGTAGGACCATGAGCTTGAATATCATTATAATCATATTAACGCAGTTAGACAGCATCTGGACCTGAATTCAGGTCTGCCTATTTCTGGGACTGCCTTGGCAGCGCAGATGTGACATAAACATATTT